TAATTAGTATGGTTAAGTATATGTAAGAGTTATGTCCCTTGATGTAAATAGACGAATGTGAGAGGTTTGAGTGAGCGTATAATGCGTTGTATTTTTGTACTTACAGGTATATTTTATTAACAGAATAAAAGACCAACGAACTAAACAGTGTTGGTGGAGTGTCATTATTACATTAACATAATACTGTAATAGTATATAGCAAATCTGTGTGTTAATGTCGAATAAGTAAAAATAGAATTCCTGTAACCGTACCAGTGTCAAAACAATACTTAATCATGTTTGTATCATAGGGTCCTTACATATGAGGCAATATCAGATCTTATTGTTGACACACTTGAGCGGATATAAAGTAATGTCACCTAGACCTATATATTGTATTAATCATTTATGTGTTAGTTGTTTCGATCAGCTCTGTCATAGACTGCCTTAGTGTAACAGAATGTATCAAACCTTTAATCCTTTGGCTCGCCCGCTTTATCCTCTATCACATAGAATTGGTATGTCCGTTTGTTTTTGAATCCACAACAGTAAGAATAGTAATACAAGTAAGACAGCACTCATAGGCGATAAAAAAGAGAATACCGAAGTATCAACAAAACCAGAAATCGAACTCAAAATCGATAAAGCTAAGACGAAATCTGAACAAAATAAATACCTACATGGAGATCCTTACACAAGTACAAGGATACTAAGGACCAGGTATTCAAGAAGGGTAAGCGTCTTATGATTCATCGACGACACCCGCCATGTAAATTACAGCCAAATTTTAGTATTGTCACGTCCTCAAATCGATAAATTGAGTGACAACATAATCATAAGGCACTCTAATGAGCATGATCAAAACATCGACCTTCGTATAACACAAAGAAATAGCACGTACTTACCATCTTAACAATATTCTTTGACTGTGTTTTCCTTCGGAAGGCATGGCATGTTGGGATGTAAATGTAAGTAATGAAGCGCTCCATAAAAAATATGTTCATAGACAACTGCGTCCATACTACCTTTCAGGGGAATGTCACCCTTCCTGATTTCCAGTCTATTATCGACGCATGTAGTGGAATCTTGTCATGTTGCGCAAAATAAGTTAGAAACCAGTTCAGGCCTTATTTTTTTCCATTGGTTTCTATCTTAATCTTTCCTTAATTCATGTTTATGTACTTTGTTTAGTAAAATGCCCGAATGGAATGAATACCCAAGATATTATTATAATTTGGGTATTTTTTTAGTGTTTAATTTTCATTGGAAAAAACATCTTCTTTTGGTTTCTAGTCAATAAATATTTTTCTACTTTATCACAAAATGAAAAAGTACAGTTTATCATAATTATATTTGCATCAAATTTCATATCAATGTTGTAGCGTCAGGATGGGGGGTCGGTAGCTGCTATGTGATGTTGGTAACTGTGGTAAGGTTTGCATGGTTTCAAATTTTTCATAAAATATTTCTCAATTACAGGTCAATTACAGTAATTCGCTCCTCTGTTTCATACAAAACGGGCCAATGGCTTCATAAGTTCCATCATATGTGCCAAAATGTGTATATATAAGAAATTAATATTCAAGAAAAGTCTTATTTCATAGCATGGCCAAATAAAGAAAAGGGTAAAGTTCAAGATAAAGATGTGTAGTTGCCTGATTTTAGGCAAATGAAGAAAGCGCATGAGTTAGTCTGATTACGATTTTTTATTATACATGTATGCACGTCAGGTACATGTACATGGTGATGGTTGATCTAGTAAATGCATCCCTTTGTCAGGAAATGGCAGCCCCAGGCACAATTATATTTAAAAACAGTGACTCAGACAAACCAAGGTAAATAATTTTAAAACAAATCATATTGGCTGCTCTTCATTGTTTACTCTAGCCGAACAAAGGTACCGCTTTCATCAAATTGAAAGCCTTATCTAATTTAACCTAATCTAATTTGCATTAATGAAAGGTATAAATTTATTTGAATGGAAAAACATAAGTCTGTATACGCTGTTTGGATAGTCTGTGGAGTGCCCTTTCTGCGTATGGAAGTGTTATAGATATACAAATTCAGTCAGGCATTTCTGGCCTTGGACATCATTGGACTAGCTTGTTTGAATCAGAGTATCCCATAGCTAGTTACACAGTGGACTGTATCACAAGCCATGTTATCGCCATGATAACAAACTTAACCTGAATTGATGTCGGTATTTTTTGACTGATGACTCAGATTTGCAGAGTGTTCTTAAAAATCCGATATCCCACTGACAAATCTTGCCCCTGTACATAATACGTAGTATTGGTGCCAAGGACCCATGTCGGCGCATGTTCTAATATTAAGTAATCACGCTTTTTGTAGTTATGATGTATAAACGCATACTTCTTACATCACGGGATACGGGAGGGGAGAACATTTCAGCATGCATACACTTATTTAACTCTGGTGCATTACAATGTTAACTGCAGTGTACAAGCTTTTCTTAATTGCACAAGCTAGTGCATTGGGTATAACGCATCTTGATAACTTTAGAGCACAAGGCTTCCAAGTTAGTTTGCTCCTAACAGTAACTGCGTTCACACTAGAGTATACACTGTCAAATAAAGGTCATTCATTGTGTAAGTATATCGTAGTAATCCTGGTAAACCGAGATAGAATAAGTACATCCGCCTGTCCCTACCATGAATGTCCAGCCCTGAATGCCACGGTGCGAGCCAGATACTTGAAACAATTACGAACAATGGGACACACTACCATTGTGAATGCTGAGTACTTTGACCTTCATTGTATTATATTTCCCGCTTGTCCACTTAAATGAACTCAGGGAAGTATGATGTCTGGTTAGGGATGTATTTGTCGCTGCGGAAATATAATTTATTGTTTCCCTGAATGATCGAAACTGATTTGTAAACAAATGAATAACAAGGTAATAACTATAGCAGCATATTGACTTCAGTTACCGACAGTAATAAATGCACACAAATCAGTGAATTTTATACGATAAACACAGTCATCACTATTTAAAAAAGATGTTTAGTAAGATGATTAACTGTTATATAGAACTTTATAATGTTATGCTATATAACTGTATATATTCACAAATGTAAATTAAAACTATAATTTAATTGTGATATGTGACACTCCAATTTATCATTTTGACTTGATTTGACTCTTTAATGAAATGAAGGAAAATTGTTATAACAGTTTGATGGACAAGTGATTTATCACTCTATGATTCGAGGCAATTCCATTTGTTTCGAAAGAAACATTTTCCAATTCTATATTAGAAAACGCAATTGATTACTTGTAATTTAACAGCAGATGTTTAAACCGAAAACTGTTGAGTTTCGCTCCTTTTGAAATGATACCACGACATCTATAATTAGAAATAATTCTAGCATCAACACTTACAGTCAGCATATAGGGTATTTTGTATTCTGTCAAACAGCAATCAATTATACGCATACATAGTGATGGCAAAAGGGTATAACTAGGATATTCAATGTTGAACTACATACACTTATCTATAGACGACATTTCTCAATTATTAAGTAAATCTAGTAAGTTAATGAGACTAAAAATTAACGTAAGCAATGCCTTAAAATGGTAACACCTACAAGACCATGTTCAGCGCTTAAGTTCCATGGCTAAAGATAATGTTTCAATCCCGTTGTGCTAGCAGACGCTATTTCGGGTTTGTATATGAAATAGTTTACGCATTGGTAAAATAGCAATGGTTAGAGACAAACCTTCAGGAAGATGCAAAACATGACTTCTAAAAATCCCGATGTGCGCAGAATAACCGGCATCCTTTTGTCAGAATTTTAAATGCAGATATGTTGCTAAGGGTGCAATCGGAAAACAGGTACGAATTTCGCCTTTAGTCATAGGTTTACATACAACCATTGTTACTGTGAAGGCAATGACTGAACAAGAGGGACTGTTATACTATTTCTCATATAGCGCATACAGAAGGATTTCCTTTATACTATTAATCAGTACGGGTCACTCATTGTTCGGGATACATACATGAAGAAAAAAATATATGTTTGAAATAAGCAAATATCATAGAGATCACATGATTATAATTTCCTACGGGACCTTCATATCACACAACATTAGCATGATTTCCTAAGGGACCCTGAGGCGACCTAAAAAGCTGTCCATAGTCAACCTGCAAAATTGGAAACACTGTGTTGTAAGATTGTCCGGGGCAGTGTACATCTATAGCGGAAGTCATGATATTCGGAACAAGCCCTTTACTACCAAATCAACTTTCGACACGTATACACTGTTTGCTGCTTTCAAGAAAGGGAAAGTTCAAAGTTTAAAAAAAAATTGAAATCGCCCCGCTTATCATACAGCTTAGTAGTAGACCGTCCCTTGTTGATCCTGTTTTCCCGCTTATCATACAGCTTAGTAGTAGACCGTCCCTTGTTGATCATGTTGTCTCGCTTATCAAACAGCTTAGTAGTAGACCGTCCCTCGTTGATCATTTTGTCTCTCTTATCAAACAGCTTAGTAGTAGACCGTCCCTTGTTGATCCTGTTTTCCCGCTTATCAAACAGCTTAGTGGTAGACCGTCCCTCGTTGATCCTGTTGTCTCGCTTATAAAACAGCTTAGTAGTAGACCGTCCCTTTTTGATACTCTTTTCCGGCTTATCATACAGCTTAGTAGTAGACCGTCCCTCGTTGATCATGTTGTCTCGCTTATCAAACAGCTTAGTGGTAGACCGACCCTCGTTGATCATGTTGTCTCGCTTATCAAACAGCTTAGTAGTAGACCGTCCCTTGTTGATCATATTGTAAGTAAAGATATAACACGAAGACAGGCATACTAACTCATGACAATGCCTCACCTTAAAAATGCAAATTTGTCAAGATTAATTTCGTGACGGAATTGAAATACAACCGTATTAGGAAAAAAAAGCTAAAGTTAAAGTTTTAACTAAAGTTATGTTTTTTTGTACAGTGACGTTAACTATAATTTTTTCCTCAAAGAGAAGAACAATTCTCAGAAATGATTTCAAAACATAATATTTATTTAGAAAAGTATAAAGCATCTGCCTTCTGGAAAAATAAAGATGTACAGTATCGCATCTTATGCAAATGTGACAAACATCAAAGAAATATATTTACAAGGATAAAGAATTGCAATTTCTCTGTCGTCTACAAGATACCTAAATTGTCGAGAACGCCCTTCGTTCTGAGAGGAATTCTTCTTCAATTAACCTAAAACTGTATTTAAGTAATTTAGCATGCACCAGTGTATTTCTGAACACGACAGACGGAATTTCTACCTGCCGATCAAACTATACTTATAGTTTTTGAACACTTTCATGTTTCCTGTGGATGAACCGGAAATCACCATTATTTTTTTTCTCTCATAAATTCTGGAAAAAGGCTTCACGATCCTCTATACAGGACACAATCATGAACTGAAACATAATTTGCGTTGTTTTATTTAAAATGAATACACAAAGCAAACATCAAAATAATAAAAAATAGAAAAATAAAAAACAATATTTACTGACTTTTTAAAACTGGTGTGAACATAATATACTTTTAACAAACAATCTATTTAACAGAGAAAATATTGAAAAAAAACCAGTCTTCAGTTGAATTTTACACTTTTTATCTTTTACGAAAGGTTTGCTTTGGTTTGTTGGTGATTAACGCCCTACGAACAGCTATGGTTATTAAAGGACATGATAATAATAATAATGAAATATTTTATGTAGACATGGTTACATATTTAGATTTACATCTAATTTACAATATGGCCTTGAAGTACACTATTTAAACTGGGCATGAGCATGCTACATACAATAACATAAATAATAACAATATCACATGTGCAGATCCTGACAAGCTAAAGTATAAAAATATTCGTCTCATCTAAAACATTATATGCAGGTATTCCTTCTTATAGACACAAACTACGTAAAATACGGTGTGAGCTTTCTAAATTTGTTTTTAAAATACTCACAGCTATAAAAAAAAGGAAGGTATTCCTTCTTAAAAACTATGCTAGGTAAAAAGTGCAGCGAGGTTTCATAATTGTTCCATAGAATGTTTTTAATAATAATTTGTCCTTCATTTTTTCACATAAAGTCTTTTGCTGGTAAAATTTCTGCATTGGGAGTCACCTTAACCGTTGTAAAAGAACAGGGGTTGGGGTAAACAATTCTATAACTTTAAGAACTACTCTTGCTGCCCGTTTTTGAAGCATACACAGTTTGTTTAAATATTCCATATTAAATGGAGTACACCATGACACAGAACAGTATAGGAAGTGCGGTAAAACAATGCTATGGTACACTTTTTTGTCATACAGATAGATGGACATAAATGGTCTTACACGTTTAAAAACACCAGCCTTTTTGGATATTGTCTGACACCAATGTTCTATATGGTTCTCCCAGCTCAAACATTCACCAATAATAACACCAAGAAGTTTGGTACTATTTACTTTTTCAATGACATGTTGCATTGAGTCTTAATCAGGTTCAAACTAAGTTTGTTCTGATCCTTACGATTAACTATACGCTTAAGATCCTCTGACAGACTAAATTAAATATCGTTGACATTAGTCCCTTGAAGTGTTTACTGTAGTCATTCATATAAAGTATAAAAAGAAGGGTCGAAGGATGAATCATTGAGGATCAGCAGTTGTCACAGGTACAAACTTGGACAATTTACCTTTAACATTTACACATGTTTGTATATCTTTAAGGTATAAAGAAAAGAATCTAAGGCACATATCTGACATTCCGAAACATTTAAAGTTTTTGAAGAAGCACATGGTGATTCACCGTGTCGAATTCCTTGCTTAGATCAAGGAAAATGGCACCTGTAGGTTTACCATCGTCCATAGTCTTAAACCACTTTTCAACTAAGCTCACAAGTGCCGACTCATTAGAGTGATTTGAACGAAACCCAAACTGAATGTCAATCAACAGACTGTTATCAAAGAGACACGTATAGAGATAATCATGCACATGTCACTCAAGTAACGTACTTACAAAAGGTAAAACAGAAAGTAAAAAGGCATGTAATTGTTGACATCAGACCTATCACCAGATTTACACAATAGAGAAACTTTTGCAGTTTCAATTCTTTTGGAAATGAACATGAATTGATAGATACATTAAAAATACAAACAAGTGGATGAATTACAGCATCGCCAGTATCTTACTTACAATAAGTAAAACAGGGAAAGGCATATAATTGTTGACATCAGCCCTATCACCAGACCTGAACACTAGAAATACTTTTGCAGTTTTCGATTCTATTGGAAATGAACATGAATTAATAGATAAACTAAAAATACAAACAAGTGCATTATTAACAGTATCACCAGCAAATTTCATTAACATTACACCTAGTAGTTTTATGTGTTTACATACAAATTAATTGTTTACATGTGGGTATAACAAACTTGTTATTAATATTAGATAAATCTACATGTAGAAGGCTGTCGTCATATATGGTTGCAATTTTAGGGGCAATGGTACTATAAAAAAGTATTGAAACCATTTGAAATATCAAAGTCATCTGTAAACGTCAGTGTCATTGACTTTGATACTCGAAGGAAGAGAAGATTTTAATTGGGAAGAAATGTTTTAATCCTCCTACACATTTCCTTTGAATTATTCGAACATTCCAGGATAACCTCGTCTAAGAAGTCTCGTTTTGCACGTGATCTTACGAGATGCGCGAAACAACTGCCAGTCAGTTTCAAATTTTTATATCCTGGCCTTTTTATGATGATAATCTCGGTTAAACATTTCACTCAAAATATCAACATTGATATATGGTTCTGTTTTTGGCCTTGCACGTTTTTTCCTTTAAAGATAGATGCTTGTTTACAACTTCAAAGAAGAATTCCTTAAATGTTTGCCAGTCGTCGTCAACTTCGTCGAAAATCTCTGGTTCATGTTTTGTCGCAGCTTCTGAACGACAAATAACACGTGATTATCACTAATACCCATTGGTAACACACTTTTACATAGAATGTTAGTGTACATGTGATCTATTAGAGTACAGGTATCCTTTGTTTCTCGTGTCGGAGAGGTGATTTGTTGTTGAAGTTATGGAGTTCCATAGTCCTTGAGGCGATTTGGTCTACATTACAGTCACCCGTTAGACTGACTGGACCACCTGAAAGGGAGAGTTTATCAAAAAAATATAGAATAACTCAAGCCACTGAACAGTCTGACTTGGGGGTTTATAGACAGAAACTAGGTTATAGGGGAGCTGTTTTTCATCTAAAGTTTAAGGACAACCATTTCAAGGTCTTACGGAACACACATGACGTCGTTACGGACAGACACTGTGTTTCTCACGTAGACGAGGACGCCGCCCCCGTGTCGGATACGATCTTTTCTGAACACGTTGTAGCCTCGGATTGCAATCTCTGAATCATCGATGACTGCATTGAGTTTGCTATCTGATATGGCAAGAATGTCAAAAGTTTGCTTCCGGAGTATTATATTTAGATGATCTTTTTTATTCATTACACTTTGAATGTTGATATGGGCACATTTTAGCCCATTTGGAATTGTTTTCAATATGTCATCAGATGATTGGTAAAAAAAAAATGCCTGAAAGATTATTAACACACTGATCACAAATCAATTATATAGGACAATGTAAATCAGAGTTCATAGCAGTGTCCAGACAATCAGTATGATAGAGTATTGGACATGCTATAAGGTAATATAGGGATCAGTTAGTCTCACATGTCAGTCACAGGTGTTACATGAAACGGCTGGCCAGGATTAGTACTCACATCATTTAACAGTAGTATGCATAAAAGGATTAGTAGTTGATTATTGCTCACCCTACCTTTGTGTACACTTTCCTCTTTGTATTCATTACATTAGTAAAATTTCTGCACACAATTTCAGCATCAAAGCATTTGATAACTAATATCCCATGGAAATCAGAAGTCAACTCTTAGCTAAATCAAATTGCTGAAGACACATTATTAGTATTGTTTAGTGCTTATCCGTCCTATTTAGAACACTCATATATAAATATATTGACTGACAAAGGAAATATAAAACTTTTTTGGAATGTTTGTTTCCAAACCATTTTTCATAATTGATAATTGGAGCTATTATATTGAATACATACCATATAAGAAACTATGAATCATAATTACTGTCTCTTCAACAGTTTTCATACACATTTGACTCTGCGTCATTTCCATGAAACCGAAAGGAATGTCCATCCCTGAAAATAGGTTAAAAACAATGTAAATAGTTATCAATTGTTAAAACGTCTTCTCCTGTTATGGTAACATGCTTGTAAAAGAAATAAATTCAGGTTTGTAGGTCAGATTGTATATTGTTTGAACATTTTTTGTACGTTATGTAATCAAGCATAAATATAATGAAATGAATTAAAGAAGTAGTTACTTTTTTTCTTCCTACTCAAGAGTTCATATGTATTATTGATATAAGCAATGACATTTACCGCTGCAACTTCAAGGTAAGCGTTGAATAAGTAGTTTATAAGGTTTCAATAGCAGAGGGATCGAATATGTTGCTACGAAACAAATATTTGCTAAGTCATAACATTTTAATGTCAAAACAAATATTTGCTAAGTCATAACATTTTTATGTCAAAACTAAGTTTTGGTTTAGTGGATAGATGTCCTTTAAAGATTACTAAACGATAAAATTGACTTACTTTCAGATAAGGTTATTAAAACGTCTATATAAACAAATTAATTCAGTGAAATTGCACAACGTAAAATTAGAATCATATACATTTTAGCTATATTGGGTATTTGGAATATAATAAGAGCTACACATGAAGTTTTTGGTCTTTAATCGGACCATTAACAAATTAATCGTACATGCAAAAAAACCAGGAAATTTCTATTCAAACTGTTTACAATATAATATAATATATTTATCACTGAAGTGGTAAAACAAAGATCATATCGAAATAGAAAATAAATGAAGCTTTTTAACTGAAAATAAAAGAGCTTAAGCGGTGGTTATTGGATGGACTTTGAATTGTTTCAAAGTAATTTCCAAGTGACTAAATCTCCGGGGTTGGATCCAGACCCAGAACTACATAGAAGTATACAACCTATATCTGAGTAACTCGTTTGGTTCACATGTTTTGATTTCTCCTTGATTTAAACATTACGAAAACATCAGACCCAGTTATGTACACATTTGTAATCACGGCATCCACTCTGATATATAATTAGCGCACAACAAAAACGAAACTGTATTAACAACAACAATTTAAACAAATATTCGGTGTTTATATTTACCTGGTATCGCCTGATGGTTGCTGACCTGTGGAAAGAAAACAACGACGACGTGTTCACTGTCTTTATATGTTATGATCGATTCTAAAACTATGACGACATAAATGTACTTTTTAACCTATTCACATAAACGTATTGGTATTCCAGCGTAACTAAATAACTGTGCTTAGGTAAAACTTTATTAAACTATACAGTTATAATTACGGGCAAGTATCCACTTGGGAATAATCCGGCTTCTGTTCGGTCAACGTTCGTCCTGCATTCGATCAGTTTCCGGCGCGTGTCGTTCGTATTGCGTTAGTTTCTTTCGCCTGGATCGGATTTAGCGGTCTAACGAAGAAGTATAAAGAAGTATGGCGCTCTTGACCTAAACGTAGCGAATATTAAAAAACAAAACAGTATTTTCTATTTTTGCTTTAAGCATCTAATGGATCTATCATATATCTTCAGAAACGTAATCAGAAAAACATCTTGAATAACGCACACGCCTTTCAGCCCGACCACGTGGGTTTCTCCTGGTACTCAGATTTTTCCCCACATTACGATCTCCGGGCGCTAACAACCGGGCCAAGAACTTTGAATACTTTGTTTCATATTTGTGATAAAAAAAAGTTTATAAAACATGAACGGTGTTAGGGTTTGGGGTGGGGGTTGGGTTGGGTTTGTGTATCTGATTTAAATGCGTTTTTTGACAAACAGCACATTTAGGGACTGTTTATCATATTCTTCATCTTGCACAAACATATTAAATGCTAATAATCTGTTCAACGTAAGCCGAAGCTGAGGTATTATGTTATTTTTTATGTTATTTTTTATAATTTTACATTGCTTGTGTTTGAGATAAGGGGAACGAATGTTATATTTCAGAAAATAACCCTTCTGCTCTATAATATACAAAGGTAAACCAACTACGTGTGCGTACGCTGTGGAACTTGTTTCTTACGATATATTTAATATTATTGGTCTTATTTTTCGGGTATCAAGATTTTATTTCTTAAACAAATTGATACTATTCATCTAACCTTTATATTGCCTACCATGAACAGTATATACATATAAACATAAAAGGACCCATTGAATTTATGTTCATTGGATTTTTGGATGCTTATTAATATATAGCATATAAGCGTTGATAAACATATACTGTCTGATACGATAGTGAGCGTATATATACATGTACTATTTTTAGAAAAAGAGTTACCAAATGTACGTAGGGCACATAGGCGGTCAATAAACTTTATTTTCAGACCGTTTCAATGCTAAAACTTAAAGAAGTGCTCAGCGTGCCTTACCAACATGCCGCTTTTATTAATTTTACAACAATTATGGAACACGTTATTTCAGTTTACTTTAATTGCTCTTTTTGACCTGTCATTCGTTCTGTGTCGTATGCTGTTCACATTCAAGAGTTTTTAGTTTGCATTTAATAACAACTTTAAGACTAGAAGAAAAATGGTGCGCTACTCATCATCACAAAATCTTGGATTGATAATAAAACGCATTTTTTCCCATGGTGATAGGTCTAAACATTTCAATCAATGTCATATCACCACAGATATTACTTCAAAATAGAAAATTATTAATTAGAAATGATTTAAAAATCCTGATATGGTATATAATTCATAAACACTTGTGTCTTGTGATTATCAACACCATCCATACCCGAACACGTTACCAACAATCGGTAAACATAGGGGAAATACTGTTAAACATTAAACTGTCTTTCTACCATTAAATGAGGAAACATACCCGTGTTTGTAGGAGGTATGGTCATAAAAGCTCTTTGTCGACAACAGTCACATGTAAGAGTAATTGGTAATAAGCTTACATGTACCTGCTTATTCACACGTAAGAGTAATTGGTAATAAGCTTGCATGTACCTGCTTATTCACATGTAAGAATAGTTGGTAATAAGCTTACATGTAACTGCTTATTCATATGTAAGAATAATTGGTAATAAACTTACTTGTATCTTCTCATACACATGTAAGAATAATTGGTAATAAGCTTACATGTACCTGCTTATTCACATGTAAGAGTAATTGGTAATAAACTTACATGCACCTGCTTATTCACAGGTAAGATAAATAGGTGTGTAATCTGTGTTAAACTGCGTATTACTGTCTGTTAACTACGTTACGTTGAATATACTTGGTTGGTTTCCTTCTCGGAAAAAAAGTAAAACACTGATATCTTCATTTGTCGATTGATGTTTCATACTTTTTATATATTTACGTATATATAGATAACCGTTGGTGATTCTATTGTAAAATTCTCAACATTAATTCATAAATATATACATTGTAAATGTACTTATACTTGAAATGCGTTAATTCTTAGACTCTGACGATAGTGGCCAAATTAATACATCACGGTTCAATTGTTTAGTCAAGGATTTAAATCTTATTCTTTAGTTTAGACGAGGAATAAGATTAGACCGCGGTTTAGCAGATTGACTAAGTTAGCTATAAGTGTTATATTACCAAATGGTAAAGATTAAGCTACCTCATCGACCGTCCATTCGATCGGCAAGGCATATGTTTATCGGCCGATAGCGGCCGTTCTAGCCGCGTTTGTGCCGAACAGTAAAACAAGCCTTCCCCATGCGTTCATTCAGCGTCAGGCTAGCGAGCGATCATCGTTCGCTCACCGTGTGGACACCGTCCATCCTTCGTTCGTTTAAAACGGATAAAGTATGGATTCTTGTCCGATTATAACTTCGTGAATATCCCCGCTTTGATTGATAAGGAAGTGTTGGGAGTGATGGGCATGTGGATTGGAAGAATCATGTGAAAAGTTGTATGCTGCATTTCTGGGAGTATATGTGAATTGCGTGCGATTCTTGAAGCAATTGATGCTAAGAAATTAATTCAACAAAATAGTTGTGTAGTGTTGAATGTATTTTACGTTATTACGTGAATGCATTACCAGTGCTGTAGCTGGGCTACTGTGGAAAAACTATCTGGACGAAGCTGAGGTCCGAGAAGTGCACCGGAATTACTGCCGCATGAACATGATGTGGTTGGAGGAAGTTGGAAAATATATGGTTCAATATGGATGCTGTACGATGTGTGGGTTTTTTAATAAGTTGCTGAAATCTGTATGATCTACGATCTAGAGGATGTATAAGTCAATAAATCCACATTAAAATCACCACTGACTATCGTTTGAACATTGAGGTGTGGCACGATTTGCATGACTCTGTCCATTTGTGATAGGAAGTTGATGAGTTGCATAGTAGGTGGCCTGTAGACTACTGTAACACACATTATCTCACCAGTCGCAGTGACCAAAAAGCAGGAGATATGCTCCGCAAACCTTGCAAACCTTTCAGACGCTAAGTTTCACGTTACATAGGTCAAAGGTCACAGTAGAGGTCACGGTGACCTAAATATGGTATGCGACACCGCCTTCCATGCATGTACCCACAAACCAAGATTCATAACCGTAGGTGAAATAGTACGGGAGATATGCTCAGGAAACCTTTTTGACGATATTATGTAGGTCAGAGGTCACGGTAGAGGTCACCGTGACCTAGATATGGTACGCAACACACATCATTTCATGCATGTACCCACAAACCAAGATACATAAGCGTAGGTGAAATAGTACGGGAGATATGGTCCGGAAACCTTTCGGACGGACGGACGGATGGACGGACGGACGAAGCAAACACTAAATGCCCCCGACAAAGCGGGGGTTTAAATGCCCGATAAAGCCGTTCCAGATGCAAACTGACGTAAGTGACAGCACAGCTTACATCACTGGCTATTTTTGCAGATGACGTAGCCTACTTTTTGCAGCTCGTCCATTACGTGCTTAATTTGCGAAAGGTCCAGTGATACAACAGGCTTGGGCAACATCGGTCAAAACATCAGTTACAACGCGGGTGCTCTAGCGTTGTAACAATGCAGCGTTATGTGATGTTGTTACACCAACGCAATGACTTTGGTTGGCACAATTTCATCGCGGTGGCGTGCACCGGTTAAATTGTTATAAAAAAGAACACAAGAGTCGTTATGGTAATCCTCGTAAGCATGCCCCGACTATCACACTACATTCAACGAAAGACGACTTTCCACGACATAATTGTCACGGAAACGCTTTGCAACGCGATGGTTCTCTACGGGGATACCATCACGTTTATCTTACTCGAACTAAGACTCGTCTGAGACAAGCTAAATCCAGTCTTATACGTCAGAGATGTCTTCTGTTCCAAGCCAGACGGCAATATGATGGCTTGTTTTAGAACGGACCGATAGCTGGTCGTTTACTCATGCAGCTTGGAAGAGGTTCTGAAACTGGGATGTAATCGTGCCGATGTAATGACGTCACATAGGTCGTCTAAAAGCGGTTCGCAAATTATTATTCGTGGTTATAGGGTCTTTGCAACTATCCAATACCTTTCTAAACTCCCTGGAGAGCATAGAGCCTGTGCTGCCATTTCGCTCACAGCTAGCATTCTACAATTATTGCACTACCCAACCACGTACTCATTTACAGCTGAGTAGACTGGAACAAGCGAAGTAAAGTATCTTGCTCATTGATACAACACAGTGCCGTGACGTGACTCGAACCCGCAACCTTTCGGTCACGAGCCCGGCGTCCTACCGCTAGACTACCGTGTCTCCAATGCAGGCCGAAACCTCTCCCACCACTTAGTTGTGGACAATTTCACTCGGTCTATGCATAATTTATCAAAAACGATCACCAAGCAAAAAAAGTTTTTTGTCTGATTGTTTTGGACGTAAAGATGTATACAACAGTAAAAAAGTCGGTGAAGATTGTCAAAGGTACTTGCTATCATTGAAAATTGCGTGATCCAGTTTTGTACACAAGGACAAAATAATGCACATAAGCAAAAAACATTCACCCGTGAAAGTTTCGTTTAAAGTTTTATATTTCATTTGTATGTACTCACAGTTTATTTTTTCAGGTTAAGTAAATAACCTACCTTGCCCGCGAATGTCTTCATATATTGCAGGTGAACTCCTATTAGCAAGATTCAGAGCTTCATAGGTCGACAGCCTTCTGTAGATCAGAATGGTTTTACATACAGATATAGTAGAAAGACATCTTTGTATACTGAAAGTATTGGACATAAACATTTGTACATTAAACATGTTTTTTGTTGTATCGTAAATATAACAATTCAACTTCCAACAGTTGACTTTATCGGGATTATTTGATTTCGTAAGAACTATATATGTTCCCATACAATCTTAACTTAACAAAAGGCATTTTAAAAGTTAACTTTTCAACATGAAACAATAGATATATAAAGCAAACAAATACTTACTGATTGCTTTCGTTGAACGCAACTGTAAGTAAACAGTTAACTTTGAATAAAAACAACACAATAACTTTTTATTTTAAATAAATAATACACACGTTCATTTGAATTACAAATATTTGAATAATGTTAGATCCTTTTTGTTCTTTGTTTTTCCCCTCTTTTTTCGATTAACTGTATATTTTTTATTTAATTTTTCTTCTTTCTTTTAACTGATTTGATAACTGACAATAGGGATTAATTGGCAACTCTTTGCTTATTGAACAATAGGAAATATTAGAGGTTACTTACTATTGTCTCGTCCGGAATGCTGCCTTGTTTCAGCCACGTGTTGTATCCTTGTGCCGTCTTTCTTAACGCTGTACAATGACAAATATATTTATGCAAGACATTTAGACAGAGAATGTTTTGAATCCAGACGAATAGGCTGAGAGGATGTCTAAATTAATGGCCAGCTACAGTGTGTTTCACTTGGTGTGTCCATCTTTTTTCGATGGAATCGTTATTTCATAAAAAATGCATAAGTGCACAAAAGGATAAAGCGTGACCGAATAGATTGCGATTTAATTGCCAACCCATAAATATATCATACCGTAGTGTACATACGCTTCACCGGTCATTTGTCTGATGAAGGTGACTGAGTACATACCTTACCAGTCACCGACACCTCACTAGTTCAATGGTGGTAATATCACTGAATGACGACGACAAGTTCTTCATTTATAGATAGCTGAGTTCGCCGTTGAGTTAACATTCGAATACGATATAATATTACTTCAAATCCAATTTGCTCATAAATGAACATTTATAATGATATGACTGCTACATACTGACTGTAGCTAAATATCCTCGTATCCCAGTGCTTGTGCTTACCACCAAGGAGTTTTCCACATACCTGTAACGATAGACAAAAAGCTATTGAACACATTAGACATGTAATGACTAACCTGTCGATAGGTCTTCAGTATTGTTTCTTATATCTATTCCATACGACGTACGTTTACACATTAACGAGTTACGTGGTCTGCATACGTGAAACTTCACTTGATTGTGTATATATATCTGATATTATACTCACAAATTAAAACAGAAACGGCCACCGCAACCACCACAACAGCAAGAAAGGATGACACGCAGATGAGGGCTATTCTTGTTTTATCCCCATCATCTTGTGGAACTGAATACATTTTAAACCATAATTATTCGAACATGCAACGTCAATTGCTATTTTCGAAACTATTCAGAGATCATAGAGTAGTTTCAGCAGTCAGAATTGAATTTATTCGAAGTCTGTTTTTCAGAAATACAGTTTTAATAAACAAATCAAGGTATTGTTAAGGAAGTAGGATGCCTTTTTGGTATATTGCATGAAAGGGGAGAACGATAAGTCACGTAAAAATATGGTTCTTATTCAGAATATAATATCTATCGTATCCTCTATGCAGAAAAAAATATGAAGCACGTCCTTTTTCGTAAATATCATAAATCGGAGTACCAATAATTCAGACTTTTTGAAATGATATTTTGTAAGCGCATTTTGACTATTAAAAATATAGTTTGTTTAAGTTATATTGAAGTGAAATGTAGCCATTACATATATATTAATTTGGCACAACGAATGTCATTGAACAGGAAAGATGAGTATTGACGTCATAGATAGGTTTAATCATTTAAAGAATTTTGATATAATTTGTATAAAATGTACATGAACATTCTGAAATTTATACTTTGGAAAGTGCAGCATAAAGCATTCATATTTGTATATTGATTACTATATTCTTAAAGGTTCATGTTTTGAGTCGAATCATATACTGACGTTTTTTGCAAATCCGTCACATTTATTCCAATCAGCCTTACTTCATTTTTATTTCAGCAATGAAAATTAAATGAAAAATTGGGGGGGAAACCAAGAATGTACTTCACCTGCGCTGATAACCTCAACGTTGTATTGTCCTTTACCGACTCTGCTTACTATTGTTACTGTGTAGTTACCAAGGTCCCCCTCCGCTAGTGTTTTGATGTTCAGTACGGCCACATAACCTTTGACCTGAACGTCTACTTCATGGAATGAAGTCATGATAGACCTGATACCTAAAGCTGCAACGAAAGTAGTAGGGGGAAGTAATTCCTCCGATCCTCTGGTCCATGTGACGTCACTAATACTGACCGCCGGTCTGCTGTAGAACTCCACTTCTATTGTTACACCATTCCCTATCTCTCCCTCGACTACTGCAGTGTTAGATGGCAAATGTACCTCGGGAGGAGCTGTAATGTTGAAAACGCAAATATTTCGTTTAATCAAAACTCTGGGACAGACCCAGGTGATGAAAAGCAAAATTATTAGGAAACTCTATTAAAAACACCTTATTTTTTCCATTATTTAAACAACTGTTACTTATCATATCTGCATGATAGATGACATCAACCAATGTTAAATGACGGTTCTGTTTGAACAATATTTTTCCATTTTTTATGCTTCTATAATCGCTATGACAACACGTTATCCTAAGTAGAAATAAAAAAAAAAATATGTTTTTACTTAAACATCAATTAGGCAACTTCTTATGAATCGTTTATCTTACCTTCTACAGCAAGGAACACAGAGCCGGCTCTGTAAGAGGACGATGCGGGAATGCCGTTGGAGGCGTTGCATACATAGTAGCCTGTGTCCTCATAACGTCTGTTAATACTTAGGTCAGGCAGGGTCAGGAGAGACTGAGTGAAACTAGAACTGCCTGTCAACTGACGTATCTCTGTTCCGTCTACTGCTGTGTGACGCCACCGACCAAACTGATAGGTGTCAGGGTATCCGTCGGGGACGCATCTCAACACTCTGTCTGTAGGGTTGTAACTTACTTGGATGGCGGGAGAATCTGCTCATGATAGTTAACAGTAACGGAAATGATGTTATAATAATGATAATATATATTTTTAAATCTTTTTGAAATTCAATTGATTCGGATAAGAACCTGCAAAAATCCTCCCGACGGAAGGACTCTGAATTACCGTTTTCACTTCCTAACGTGTCACTTTGAGCGTGAGAGTTGAAATACTTACACAATACCGTTATGCGTCGTGCTGATTGCAATCGCCCAACCCTGTTACCGGCTCTACAGTACACATACTTCCCATTGTCCTGACGGGTGACTCGTAGTGAAAGTGTTGACGTCACGGTATAGGTATCTGTAGCACTGTCCTTTACTTTGACCTCTGTAGGATTGTTGGACTGCCAATAACCGCCGACTTTCCAGGTAATAACAGCCGCTGGTCTACTTCCTGTAGACACACATTTCACCTGTAGGGTCGTGTTCTCTGTCTGGGACAACTCGTCAGGAATAGTTGGTTGTCTCGGCATCACTGGAAAAAAATGAAAAAAAAAAGATCATCAAGACAAAACAAACCCATTAATGTTTTATAAAACAACATTTTATATAAAGACGGCGGAGTAACTTCCACTGACACGGCCCAAGTCGTTGCATACTCAATCAGCAACGTGTAAACAAAATTCAATCAGGACATGTAAATGCCAAAGTGCACTTTAAAACAGTTTCTCTCGTGCTGGGGCAGGGCTGCGATATTAGACTCCCTTCTGTTAAAACACATATATTATCTATACTAACGCACTGGTGGTCTGAGGACTGGGCAGGACAGAACTGTTAGACTGAAATGTACACATTCTCTATGCTAAGACTATAGGTATATCAACACACACTGGGAGTTTGAGGACTGGTCAGAGATGGACTATTACTTTATACTTACAATCTAAGTATACCAACACACTGGTGGTCTGAGGACTTGTCAGGGATGGACTATTAGACTGACATGTATACACGGTCCTGTCGTCAGCTCGGGTAAGCACTTTTGTGTAGCTGGCTGAGCTCTCTGACATTACCAAGGTGATACCATCTTTGATCCATGAAACACTGGCGGCCGGAGAACCATCAAATGCGTTACATGTGAAGGTCATACTTCTGCCTTCAACTCCTGTTGTCCTGTTTAGACCATCCACACTTACTATGTTACTTATCTCGGGAAATGTTGCTGGAACTGGGGAAAATGAAACGGGACAATCTGGCATCAGGGATTAAGAAATATCAAGTTACTCTCAAATGAAAATGATATCCAAAGCTGCGTTATTGCTTCCGAAGAATATGCATAAGGCACCAGTAAAAACGATATTTCCCTATGAGATAATTAAGGCGTCCATTAAACTTGCCAATAGTCTGCATCAACTCACATTTTCTGAATCTTTGTGACGTATACAAAATGAACATCGAATATTCTGCAGCATGATAAATTCTGTCACACGTTTAATCCCCCAACAAAAATGTCACTGTCAGATACAAATGGAAAAAAGTTATTGCAGTTCGTATGTACATCTAGTATATCTACTACCAGTGGTTTAACTTAGTTTTCCCGACGGAAAGACTCTCTATTACCTTTTTTTACTTCCCAGATGTTCACTATGCTTGTTAGAGATGAGATACTAACACAATACTGTTATTCTGCGTCGTACTGATTGCAAACGTCAAGAGCACGACCGGCTACCGGCTCTACACATTATACACTTCCCACTGTCCTGACGAGTGACTGCAAGTGTTATATATAATATACTTACACAATACTGGTATACTGTGTCGTACTAACTCAATCCCTCCAGACAAGGCCTGTTTATTGGTTCTACAGTACACAGATTACCCATTGTCCTGACGGGTGACTTGGAGTGTTATATATGATATACTTACTCACTACTGTTATACTGTGTCGTACCGACTCAATCCCTCCAGACAAGGCCGGGTTACTAATGTTTCAGTACGCAGACTTTCCATTGTCCTGACGGGTGACTGCAAGTGTTATATATAATATACTTACACAATACTGTTATACTGTGTCGTACTGACTCAATCCCCCCAGACAAGGCCGGGTAACTGGTTCTACAGTACACAGATTTCCCATTGTCCTGACGGGTGACTGTAAGTGTTATATATAATATACTTACACAATACTGTTATACTGTGTCATACTGACTCAATCCCCCAGACAAGGCCTGGTTACTGGCTATACAGTACACAGACTTCCCAGTGTCCTGCCGGGTGATTTGGAGTGTCAGATATGATATACTTACACAATACTGTTATACTATGTCGTACTGAATCTGGGCCTGATTACTGGCTTTACAGTACACAGACTTCACATTGTCCTGACGGGTGTCTGGGAGTGTCAGATATGATATATGTGCACAATACTGTTAAACTGTGTCGTACTGACTCAATCCCTCCAGAAAAGGCCTGGTTACTAGCTCTACAGTACACATACTTCCCATTGTCTTGACGATGACTGGGAGTGTTATATATAATCTACTTACACAATACTGTTATACTGTGTCATACTGACTCATAGCCTGGTTACTGGCTATACAGTACACAGACTTCCCATTGTCCTGACGGGTGACTGGGAGTGTTATATATGATTTACTTGCACAATACTGTAATACTGTGTCGTACTGACTCCAGGCCTGGTAACTGGCTATACAGTACACATACTTCCCATTGTCCTGACGGATGACTAGGAGGGTCAGATATGATATATTTACACAATACTGTTATACTGTGCCGTACTGATTCAATCCCTCCAGACAAGGCCTTGTTAATAGCTCTACAGTACACATATTTCCCATTGTCCTGACGATGACTGGGATTGTTATATATGATCTACTTATATAATACTGTTATACTGTGTCGTACTGACTCCACGCCTGGTTACTGGCTATACAGTACACATGCTTCCCATTGTCCTGACGGGTGACTGGGAGTGTTATATATGATATTTGATATACTTACACAATACTGTTATACTGCGCCCTACTGACTCAATACCTCCAGACAAGGCCTGGTCACTGGCTCTACAGTACACATACTTCCCATTGTCCTGACGGGTGACTGGGAGTATTATATATGATATACTTACACAATACTGTTAAACTGTGTCGTACTGACTCAATCCCTCCAGACAAGGCTTGGTTACTAGCTCCACAGTACACAGACTTCCCATTGTCCTGACGGGTGACTGGTAGTGAAAGTGTTGACGTCACGGTGTATGTATCCGTAGCACTGTCCTTTACTTTGACATCTGTGGAAGTATTGGATGTCCATGTATTACCGACATTCCACTGAATAACGGCCGCTGGTCTACTTCCTGTAGACACACATTTCACTTGTAGAGTCGCGTTCTCTGTCTGGGACAACTCGTTAGATATAGTTGGTTGTCTCGGCTTCACTGGAAAAAAATAAAATATAAATGAATTCATCAAGACAAAACAAACCCATTAATGTTTTATAAAACAACATTTTATATAAAGACGGCTGATTCACTTCCATTGACACGGACCAAGTCGTTGCATACTCAATCAGCAACGCGTAAACAAAATCCAATCAGGACATGTAAATACCACAGTGCACTTTAAAACAGTTTATCTTGTGCTGGGGCAGGGCTGGGATATTAGACTTCCATCTGTTAATACATATATAATCTATACTAACGCACTGGTGGTCTGAGGACTGGGCAGGACAGAACTGTAAGACTAAAATGTATACATTCTCTATACTAAGAATCTAGGTATATCAACACACAGGGAGTTTGAGGACTGGTCAGGGATGGACTATTCCTCTATACTTACAATCTAGGTATACCAAAACACTGGTGGTCTGAGGACTTGTCAGGGATGGACTATTAGACTGACATGTATACACGGTCCTGTCGTCAGCTCGGGTGAGCACTTTTGTGTAGCGGGCTGAGCTCTCTGACATTACCAAGGTGATACCATCTTTGATCCATGAAACACTGGCGGCCGGAGAACCACCAGGTGCGTTACATGTGAAGGTCATACTTCTGCCTTCAACTCCTGTTATCCTGTTTTGACCATCCACACTTACTGTGTTACTTATCTCGGGAAATGTTGCTGGAACTGGGGAAAATGAAACGAGACAATCTGGCATCAGAGATTAAGAAATATCAAGTTACTCTCAAATGAAAATGATAATCCAAAGCTGCGTTATTGCTTCCGAAGAATATTTATATGGCACCAGTAAAAACGGTAATTCCCTATGAGATAATTAAGGCGTCCATTAAACTAGCCAATAGTCTGCATCAACTCACATTTTCTGAATCTTTGTGACATATAAAAAATGAACATCGAATATTCTGCAGCATGATACATTCTGTCACACGTTTTATCCCCCAATAAAAATGTCACTGTCTGATACAAATGGAAAAAAGTTATTGCAGTACGTATGTATATCTAGTATATCTACTACCAGTGGTTTTACTTAATCTTCCCGACGGAAAGACTCTCTATTACCTTTTTTACTTCCCAGAGGTTCACTTTGCTTGTTAGAGATGAGATACTAACACAATACTGTTATTCTGCGTCGTACTTATTGCAAACGTCAAGAGAACGGCTGGTTACCGGCTCTACACATTATACACTTCCCATTGTCCTGGCAGGTGACTGGGAGTGTTATATATGATATACTTACACAATACTTGTATACTGTGTCGTACTGACTCAATCCCCCCAGACAAGGCCTGGCTACTAGTGTTTCAGTACGCAGACTCTTTCCATTGTCCTGACGGGTGACTGGGAGTGTCATATATGATATACTTACACAATACTGTTATACTGTGTCGTACTGACTCAATCCCCCCAGACAAGGCCGGGTAACTGGTTCTACAGTACACAGATTTCCCATTGTCCTGACGGGTGACTGTAAGTGTTATATATAATATACTTACACAATACTGTTATACTGTGTCATACTGACTCAATCCCCCAGACAAGGCCTGGTTACTGGCTATACAGTACACAGACTTCCCAGTGTCCTGCCGGGTGATTTGGAGTGTCAGATATGATATACTTACACAATACTGTTATACTATGTCGTACTGAATCTGGGCCTGATTACTGGCTTTACAGTACACAGACTTCACATTGTCCTGACGGGTGTCTGGGAGTGTCAGATATGATATATGTGCACAATACTGTTAAACTGTGTCGTACTGACTCAATCCCTCCAGAAAAGGCCTGGTTACTAGCTATACACTACACAGACTTCCCATTGTCCTGACGGTTGACTGGGATTGTTATGTATGATCTACTTACACAATACTGTTATACTGTGTCTACTGATTCAACGCCTGGTTACTGGCTATACAGTAGACAGACTTCCCATTGTCCTGACGGATGATTGGGAGTGTTAGATTTGATATACTTACACAATACTTTTATACTGTGTCGTACTGACTCAATCCCTCGAGAGAAGGCCTGGTTACTCGCTATACAGTACACATACTTCCCATTGTCCTGACGGGTGACTGGGAGTGTTATATATGATATCTTACACAATACTGTTTTACTGCGCCGTACTGACTCAATACCTCCAGACAAGGCCTGGTCACTGGCTCTACAGTACACATACTTCCCATTGTCCTGACGGGTGACTGGAAGTATTATATATGATATACTTACACAATACTGTTATACTGTGTCGTACTGACTCAATCCCTCCAGACAAGGCCTGGTTACTAGCTCTACAGTACACAGACTTCCCATTGTCCTGACGGGTGACTGGTAGTGAAAGTGTTGACGTCACGGTGTAGGTATCCGTAGCACTGTCCTTTACTTTGACATCTGTGGAAGTATTGGATGTCCATGTATAACCGACATTCCACTGAATAACGGCCGCTGGTCTACTTCCTGTAGACACACATTTCACTTGTAGAGTCGCGTTCTCTGTCTGGGACAACTCATCAGATATAATTGGTTGTCTCGGCTTCACTGGAAAAAAATGAAATATAAATGAATTCATCAAAACAAAAAAATACCATTAATGTTTTATAAAACACGGACCTAGTCGTTGCATACTCAATCAGCAACGTGTAAACAAAATTCAATCAGGACATGTAAATGTCACAGTGCACTTTAAAACAGTTTATCTTGTGCTGGGGCAGGGCTGGGATATTAGACTTCCATCTGTTAATACATATATAATCTATACTAACGCACTGGTGGTCTGAGGACTGGTCAGAGATGAACTGTTAGACTAAAATATATACATTCACTATACTTAGAATCTAGGTATATAAACACAGTGGGGTTTGAGGACTGGTCGGGGATGAACTGTTACTCTTTACTTACAATCTAGGTATACCAACACACTGGTGGTCTGGGGACTGGTTAAGGCTTGACTACTAGACTGACATGTATACACGGTCCTGTCGTCCGCTCGGGTAAACACTTTTGTGTAGCGGGTTGACGTTACCAAGTTGATACCATCTTTGATCCATGAAACACTGGCGGTCGGAATACCACCATTTGCGTTGCATTTCAAGGTCATTCTTCTGTCTTCCACCATTGTTGTTCTGTTTTGACCATTTACACGTACTGTGTTTTCTATCTTTGGAAAATTTGGTGGAACTTGGGAAAATGAAAAAAAAGTATCTTGCATCAAATATTCGGAAATATCAAGTTATTCTCAGATGAAAAAAATATCCTGTCGCGAAATAGACACATCTGTAACCATTAGATTGTTTATTGCGTCTAGGTTTTGGGTCACACTGTTTATATTTTTAATGCTCCAGAGAGTAGGTCCTCTGGGATTAAGATATCTCCCGATTACATTGACCAGTACATCTCTTTTTTCTTTATCGTTTTAATGAAGTACACCCCAAACTCCTCTCTTGGGGTGTTTCACCACCTTTACGTTTACAAACAAGAAAATGCAGCAAAGCTGCTGGACACTAAACCTGATTATGAAAATGACTTAGTGACAGTCCATCAACCACGAGGGAACGAATCCTGCATACTTGAATCTATTTAATCATAATCATATAAGTTGTAAATGACATTAATTGTGTTATTCAGAACATTCCGTTCACGCTTAATATCTAGTTTTAACCGCACGTTTAGGCCAAATGTCAATGATTTGGTAATAACGGCATCTTCTGAGAGAGAGAAGCCGGGACATAGGACGATTTTCATAAAAGATCCTTCACACCTTTTGTCAAAATTGTAGTAAGTTTTGCATATGGTTTTTTTGACAATGTCCCTATTTGACTATTTTGAATAAAAAATATCTACCATTTTCTAGGTTAAAGGGTCAATCGTAGCCCCCGCCCCTTTCAATAATAGCAATTACTTCTCGAGACTGCAACATATTTAGCCACAACGCTGGTTTTTTTTGGTTGTTATCACATATTCGTTTTAAACAAGTGAAATATGTTAAATAGTTCTCCGAATACGGAAGGTAATTTGCCCTGAATATCTATATATATCCATGTATACAACATTTGATGTAGCCCCCAATCTTGCTAAAATAAGCCACTCTAAGGCGCTTTACATGACATATAATACGATAAGCATATACAGGTACATTAATTCAATACAATTTTTAATGATGCTAAAGGCGCTAACTACTAGCCATATGCCACCTGGCTAATATCTCCCCATATGTGTATGCATGCGTGTGTGCAGGAAATGTACAGGTAATGTTGTCTGTTTGTAGCGGGACCGTGCTTCAAACGGTATCATTTATAGTGCCACCTCGCTTGAATGCTACAGCACAGATATCGCAACATCCACCTCAGACCAATGTATACTCCATCTGGGTTGTTGGAGCTGTATAGGCAGGAGAAAAAGCTGAATATCCATGCGTACGACGACTTCGAAGATCGAACCCCGGCCGCATGGAAGGCCGTAGCGTTTACTTTGACCACTCGACCAGACCCCCTGTATTGTGAACTCTTTCAAATCCAAGTTAATTTTTAACATATGACATATTGTTCAGAACTACTTTAACAAAAAGGGGGCCGAAATTGCCCCTGTCCCAATACGGGGACATATATTTTGAAATAAAATTCCACAGCTGACAGGGGTTAAGGGAGAAATGGGAGATAAGGTACCCCCCCCCCCCCCCCCCCCCCCCCCCCCCCCCCCCCCACAAANAGTACAACCATTGAACCATTGAATAACGCTCGGACTGTATGTTTACTTTACTTACACTACATAAAATGTAACTGTTAAGTTATGTAGGAAACAGTTGTTTTATATGTATCTTTGCCCGCTGTTAAGGTTTGCTGTTTGTCACACCAGCAAAGCGCGGGAATGTATAACGTAGTTTTTGACGCCAAGTTATAATGACGTCATGCCTGACAACAATAAAAAGCCATTTTGGATGGGTTTTCACTGCAATTTTGCCGTTTGCTAGTATGATCTGGTAAGATTTTCAGACAAAAATGATATTAATTGTGTAGTTATGTAAAAAAAAAAATTGTATGCTGCAAAGGTAGACAGCACAACCACTTATTCTGCCGTCACTTCATCTAAACTTGAAACTGTAAATCTACGCAGAAAATATCATGTACCGTTCAGGTTGGACAATACTTATAAGTTTTTACTTGTGAAGATATAATGTTTCGTTTATCTTCACTGCATTAAAGATATGTTTTTATTAAATAGAGAATTCATGATATTTCACAAGTAAACTGCAATAAATAGGGTTTACCAACATATACAGTATGCGGCCTCAATTTCCTAGGAGGCTTTCACGCATGGGGAAGCACCGGAAGTGGAACCTGGGGGTTTGAAAAAAAGGATCGCTTTTGATATACAAACTTTAAATAATTAACGCAAAATTGCCTTTTACCAGTGCTGCTTCAGACCCAATATAGTAGCGATTTGTGCTGTCGTTCAGATGTAGTAAGCAGTTAACAATTTTGTCGCTTATGTTGTTTAAAAGTTTGCCCGTCCATCTGGCTCCTGCATGCTACATCAAATGCATTGATACGAAAGAAGTTTGCATTGCCTCAAGTTTGTTTTAAATACGGTAACAATTGATGCCTTGTTTCAGCAGGAGTGTTTAAAAATGAATTTGCTTAATTCTGCCCTATTTTGGGCCTGATTGCTTTACCCGCTTCGCTAGGGGTGACAGTCTTCATTCTGCGGGAACACACTATTGGAAAGCAGTTGTTCTCCTTTGTTCGAACGGTACCTTATAACAAATTGTCTGATGACGATCAGTCGATAAGGAGGTGTTAGGTTTAACGGTAAAGGTTGATATAAAAAAGGCGGACAGACGACAAACGTGGCACACAACCATTTTTCAGGGTAAAGAAAGCCTGTTAATTTTTTTGTCTAAGACCTCACCAGATTTTGTTTTGAATTATTTCCATTTGTTGTTCTTGAAAAGTAAACGTTTTGCTATTTTCTATCTTAGTTTACTTCGTTTTTTAATTTTTTATTTAAAATCAATAATCAGGCTCTGAAGGCGAGTCGATATCAACTAATAACAACCTAAATAGCCCTTCATCTGTGCAAACACCATGACCTTTGGCCGTTTCTAGGCTTACATTTGACCAATGTGATTTGAAAGTGATTCAAGATATTCATTACAATTTTTGACATATATCATAATAGTTATACATACAGATGCCACAAATTATAATATGCAACGCTGCATTTTTAAAATTACTACGTTTCCCGAAGTTGCAAACATTTAGTAACTACATCCATGTTCCTTTACACTAAGTTTTGAGCTAATTGTCACATGCGCTTTGTTAATTTGTATTGTTATGTTTGTGCAGTATATAGGTTTTCGTTCCAGTTGCTTTGTATCTCGAACTGGAAACACGTATGCCATCAACTTACTATTATACACAACTTTACAAAGGAACTATTTCCTTCTCTTCATTCCTGGAATATGTCATATTAAATTGAGGACACGTTGCTTGCGTTGTCAATGGTCTCATGATACCTGTTCTGTGAATATTTCAGACGAGTGACATCCGCCTTTAAAGCAAAGCTATTTTACCGTTACGCGACCTAGCGAGACTGTCGATGTACATCAACGATCAAACTGGTCATCACGTTTCATGAACAAAGTAGCACTCATCGAAGATTCGAATTTTTCATGCATATTCCAAGGGTTTACAGAAAGACACTGAGCCTAAACCCCGGAGTTTCGAGAATGCGAAACGCCAGAAACGCAAGAAATGTAAACAAAAAAATGTTATAGAAGGCCCGAGTATACCACTTCGGTAATGGATGATTTAACTTTTAATTGTTTAGATGTTAACAACCGAAGAAAAAGAATACGTATGATCACATCGTGCGTAATAGCAAAATTGTCTTTGATCAAATATATAACGCATTTTGTTCCTGGGAAAAAACCCTGTTTTTCATTGGACAAACAGATTTAATCTGAAGCTTAGTACTAATCAATATTTATATATACTCTGCATCCCTCCATTGCGATGCATTGGAAGGCAAATGTTATTATGAGACAAAAACAACATTTGCTATTGTAACGTCATCAATCTCTATTGTGACGTCATCAATATCATTTTTATCATGACGCACATTTGCATTGCTGACAAACTTACATAAGACCTGCCGGGCTTTATTACGTTTGTCATTAATAGTAATGTGCCTCAACATTTCTCTTAACAAATTCTTTACACAATCCTATTTTTTCTAAAAGACCATTGGACGAAAACAAAAACTCAACAAAAAACAAAGTCCATGTTTGAAAAATACCTTGTAAACGGACGTGTTGACGGTACAATGTATCATCCACTTCACACCGATAATACCCGGAGTCACTGGACCGGAACTCTGTAAACGTCAGTGTATATCTTCCTCCCGTGTGTCTAGCAGATAACCGGGATTTAATGCTACTACTCAGACCAGTCGTCACCGTGGTATTACTGACATACGTACGCCAGTAACCGACAAGTTTTGTCCAGGCAAGGTGAGATACCTGGTCATCAGCAGCACAGGTCAGTGTGACGGAGTTGTTACTTTGGACATTCACAGTTGTTTGACTCCTATCTGTAAAATTATTAAAGCAGTATGGTAGTTTACTTTTGTTGGATAGATCTATACAGAATTACAGGATATGTATATCTCCACCGGTCCTCTAATTGTGACGCTTGCTTGCGTAGTCCTGCATTTGACACCTAATATATATACATCATCATGTGTTGAAACAGGCGTGCCATGAACTGAATCAGAATAACATGTAAGGATGTCACGCTCCATAAAATGAATATGTATCAATATTATTTAAATTATTTTGTGGAGAAAGCATTATATCAAGTGAGCAAGTTCTTTAGTTTCGAAAGTAACTCCCTTCTAAATCACCATCTGGTTTTGATGGAGGATAGTTGTTGTGAGTTAGAAACCTAGAAGATATCTTGTAACCACATATTTTGCACGATTTTCCTAATATATTCTTTATGATATAACAAGTATGGTAGCAGAATACAGTAGAAATGGCCCGTCTCTGATAAGCAAGGCACATGTCGAGGAAATATAAACACAGCGGATTTACGCTACTCAACACGTGTATACATGTATATATATTTGTAAACTGAATTACATTTACAATACATATACAGTACTGAGAAGTCTATAAACCTCTTTTTTCTATGTTTGTCATTTGTGTGAAAACCATGGTTACCACATCAAAAATTACCAAAAAATGCCAAACATTGCTATTTTTAACCCAAAATTTGACCCCCGCAACTAGTATTTTTTTCCTAAGTTTGTCTGAAATTAAAGCTTACCTACCCGGTTGCAGCATTATCTGGGTCCCAGTAAAGTTGTAAAACTTGATGTTGTCAAAATGTTACCTCCTATAAAGCTAGCTTTTCATGTGTACGCACCCTTTCGGATTATGGCCAAACTTTTATTCTCGAACCAAAAAGAATCTTCTTTCTTTTTTACAAATGTGAAGCTCACATAGCCCACTTCATCATGCTTATACCAATTTTAGTACAGTTTTATTTTTATATTTTTTTTACATATCATTATACAGGGGTTTGCTATTTAACAAAAATATCACCCATGGCCACAACCCTCTACTGTGTACAGCTACCTAATGAAAAATGGTTGTATAGTGCCGTAAAACGTATGTTGTTGACTATCGTATCAACACTCCCTTTTGAAATAGAAAGTCTATTTTGACCTAAAAGCTGTGATTTCATATGGCATGTTTTAAAAACAATTGGTGATTCAGAACACTTATGACATTATTTTTTATTTTTTATTTATTGACCTTTTAAACCACCAATGGGTCGTATCTTGACTAAATGCCATATATTTCAGAGTGATTACTTTGTATTTCAAATTTGATGAGCGCTTCCATTAGTCTTCTTTCAAGTTATATATTTGATACTTCTAATTACAATATATAAGTATGTCATATATATAGCTACCAATGACAATATAACAATAACATTTGTGTATAGTGTAAAAATGAAGTTCGTTACATTGGCATTTATTACACAAACACAACATGTTATATATTTGTACACATACAACATTGACAGGTATCCGTAACTCGCCTATACATCCACGTGGAGTTATAAGCCAGTCATGATACCAGTTCTTTGAAGATTACAGGCGAGCGACACCTGACCTCATAGCCATTCAGTTTTACCGTTACGCGAACAAGCGATTCTTGTGATTTACATGAAACTAGTCTTCTCGTTTCACCAACAAGGTGGCGCACATCGAACGTTCAGTTTTGTCATGAGCGAAACCCCTGAAGTTTCGAGGATGGGAAACATCAGAAACACAAGAAAAAACAAATGATAACACTTTTGTGAGTATCTTCAGTGATGGATTATTTAACTGTTCTAGCTGTTAACAGCCGAAGAAAAAAAATACGTATGATCAATTCGTGCGTAATAGCAAAATAGCTTTTAATCAAAAATATAATCCATTTTGCTCACGGGAAGAAAATATTATTTTCATTGGACAAACATATTTAAATTTTAGCTTATTATTACTCAAGGTTTCACTTGGTTTATCATTATTGTCAACCGAAATTTTACACAATTCTAACTGCAAACTATTTTTCTAAAAGACCCTAGGATGAAAACAAAACAACACTGAACAAGGTCCATATTTGATTTGTTTTTACCTCGTTTAACGATCATCTGTAGGTACTCTGTCCCATCCACTGTGCATTTGTATAGTCCCTCGTCACTGTACCTGAATCCTGTAAACGTCAGTGTATAATTCCCTCCGGTGTGACGGGCAGAGACCCGGGATTTTATTATACCACTCAGACCAGCCGCCACCGTGGTACCAATGAAATACTGAATATATCCGGGTCCTCTCCAGGTCAGATCGGTGGCTTGGTCATCAGCCGGACATGTCAATGTGACGGGGGAGTTACTAGAAACATATCTGATACTCGTCCCTGTAAAAGTAGTAAAAGTATAATGGTAATTTATATTTGTTGGATACCAAGTTAAAGGATATGTATAATGTGATCTGTGCACTAGTTAGCTAATTCTTACATTTGCTGGGGTAGTTCTGCATTTTACAACTAATATATATATATATCATCATGTGTTAAAACAGGCCAGCCTTGAAATGGATCAGAATAGTATTCCGAACTTGTAAGGACGCCACGTTTCATAAGAACCAAGGATTCGTTACAAATGTCTGAAATAGACATATAATTACATAACTGATATGGGTCACAGGACACATAAACATACATATAAATGTACGTTTATGTGTGCTGTGACCCATATCAATAAAGCATATGTGTATATATGTATGTGTATGTGTGTTGTGGCCCATATCTGATCAGTATAGCATATATATGTGTATTTCAGACAGTGTAACGGACCCCTGTGGTAGATCCATGTGGTCCCGTCTTTTATGAAATAGCCTACAGTCTAACAGCCAAATGCCACATCAAACGTTTCATCCTATCATGCCACATTTGGTTTCCAGTCTAAATCGACATTCAATTATTGCAGTTTCACATTTCAGAAGATGACGAACCTCGAAGTTTAGCGGCTCTCCACTTCGAGCTAGTAAAAAGATGGCTGCCGTAGACTCGCAGCTGAGCCTATGCTACGCGTCTAGACATTATTCTTCTGCGATGACGCATCAAAGAATTTGATAACTTTTGAATTTATCAACACAAATTAAATATGACATTTTCTATACGGTTTTGTGTTTTATTTCTACATAAGTTTGCATATCAACGTACACCATCCTGTTTTATGATGCCCCTTCAATGAGGGTCTATATTCTTTTCATATTACGTCAATACTTAGCTCCATAACCTTGGACAAGTTCCAATTATTGAAAAAAACAACGTTGATTGAAATATAAGGATTGAATCTTGCTTTGGTCGATTTCATGGGGTGATAAATTGAGTTGGTCTTGAAACAAATTCAACATGAAACTTGTTTCAAAACCAACTCAATTTATCACCCCATTAAATCGACCAAACCAAGACCCAATCCTTAAGTGAAGAAAGCGAAACATCAAGTTAGCATGTTCTTGATTGTTACGTCATTGGTTTGAGTGAAAAAATTACGTCGTTTTCTCAAAAATTGATGACGTTACTCTCACAAACAAGTGACGTAACAATCAACACATGCTCATAAGAGAAGATAACTCTGCAATACTCAAAGACGGAATAAGCTATCACACATTTACATCTTTAATACATTTTTTTAAGGTGTATTAAAAAGAATCACACGTAATGCAAAACTAGTTTACAGTGCTGTGAAACACGTTAACATTTCCTATGAAAAAGAAATGCATTTCTTGGACGTTTTTGTTGAAATTACAGGACACGATATTCGTATGCTGATCTATATTGTAAGCCTATAGATTCTCATAATTATTTTGGATTGGTTTCTAATTATGCTCAACAAACGAAGCATAACATTTCATGTGGTTTAGCATCTAAATACATCACGGTTGTTAGATATATGAAACAATGTTAGAAAAAAAGATCGGGCAATACCAAACTTTATCTTAAAACAAACATTATTTCAGTGAAGTTGTACAAAATACAATATGCTATTCAAAGATCTAAAGAGAAAGGTTCTGCCAGTCTTAATTAAGAAAGAGCTAACACCAAAGACGCTAATATCATTCCATTTGTTACTACAGTACGTACAATTAAAATAATTGTTTCCTATCGTAAAACATTATGTAAATTTTATGCAAAACATTGAGAGCATGATTATACACTGTAAAAACGACCAAAACTAGAAACTTCAACTGTGTACACAACAA